AGGAATGCAATGTGTCCCCCCATACTGTTGTGTGGATTTTAAAGACGGCTGTGATTCAAAAAAGAGCACAGGAATGAGTTTCAACAAATGCCGTGGAATAATGCATGACATGCCTGTCCATCAGGCATTTAGTGGTCATGTGGGAGATATGAACCTGAGGCACAGCTAACAGTATTTAACTTTCTAAGCAGCTATTAATCTGAGGGACTCCATGAAATGATTTCCATAGCTACCACAGTACCCGTTTCTGCATATACAGGCCACAAAAACTAGAGGAACGTTTCTGTAATAACCCCAGAATCTCTCTGTCTCTCTCAAAAAACAAAAAAAAAAGAAAGAAAATAAAAAGCAAGCAATATCTTCTAGCTGTCTATTGTCAGCACTGCGCCCTTTTATTAAGTAGACTGAAAGGGACCTGAGGAACGTTGTTATAGTGAATAACAACAGTCCCCAGAGGTGACAAGTAGGACAGCTCCACAGCACTCAGTGGAATTAGGCAGATTGCCATGAAGAGACTGGATCCAGCCACATACGCGCTAACGAGTAGACCAGCAAAAAGTTTGAGAAAAGGCAAATTCTATTTAAATCCTTGACTCTCTGCACAGCACAGTATGAGAAAGCATTAGGCCTCATTCCTGAAATTTTGTGAGAGTTCACTTACTGTTTAGGCAGAACCTTGCTCTCACCTGGTACAAAGTTAGAGCCGAAAGCACAGGCTCGGGTCTCCGTGGTGTTCCCAGAACACTGGCTGCCCACGGGAAACAAAACAATGCACTGCCGAACCCGCAACTGAGCTCCAGACGAGTCACACTCGGACCACTCGGACCAATCTGACCAGCTGTCTGCAACAGGTCGAAAGAGAGAGAGAGACACACAGCGGATTTAAATGCTTCAAGTACCCAGGGTCTCCAGTGAAACGGTCTGTCTCTCTAAATTACGACAGAGGTCCTACTCCCTAGCTTCTACAAGCTGACAAAGGACGGTTCTGCTGGTGGTGGTAAAGAAAAGCCAGTTTTGACGAGCTGGACAATGACAGTCACTTTTATTTATGTACCTGACAAGTAGCAATAAGAGCTACAGAAACAGGTATTCCTGGTCTAAAAGAAGATGTCTGTTCAACTACAGAAAGAGTTGTATCTTGCAGACACATTTTTCTTTCTTTTTATTCTGGTCTGTTTCTTCGTTGTAGATAGAGGAGAATACTTTATGATATGGCAGAGGAAATCTTGTTCTTTTCCTTCTCCCACATTTGGCTCATTAACAATTTCTATTATTTCTTTAGATTTCTTCCTCTGCCTATGTAGTTTTGATTACGACACTTTTATTTCATACCAGACAATCTCTGTGCGATCTCAGAACAGTTAAGTGAATGTATCTGATTCATGTGAGATGCTCTGAACTTACTGAGCTCAGCTTTCTTACAATTCAAGTGCAAGCCTTGCCCTCATATAAGTCTTCTCAGCTTGGCATGTATAGTAGAAGACAGAGCTCAGTAAATTTTGTTTTTTTTTTCATTTTTTTCATATTTTTTTTCCAGTATCTTTCCTATCGAGATATGTTTTATCGCTTTGGTTTTAATTAAGTAGTCCTAATATCCCAAACTGAGTTTACTTCTACTTCTAACTGATTTTACGTCACAACCACAGCAAATGCACAAATTTCATTTGGCCTCAAATAAAAAAACACATATACTGGCCTAATTTCGTTTCAAGTTAGATCGAAGAACACTGAAATTTGTGAATAATTTGAAAGTTCACAAAACCTTTGTGTACTTCTTGTGAATTGGGTGGCATGCCAGGAGAGTCTTGCACTGCTCGGGCCTTTCAAAGCATCGCATAAAACTAGCGTACATGGTTTGTATTTACACATTACTTTCCCCTTGACCTTAAAGGAAAAGGTTAAGGCTCTCAGTCATCTAAAACTAATGGATTCTAATAAGAATATTTGAAAAATGTCAAGCAATAGATGCTGTCCATGATAGTGCTGGCCACTGACTTCCTAATTAATATTATGATAACAAGAAATGGATGGAGTAGACTGAACAACTTTAGCATAGAAAATCTCAAGCAGTGGTCCAAGGACCATTTTAAGACCATAGGAGAGTCCTGGGTACAGACAGTAGCAATCCTACCAGTCTCTTTCAGTCCATGGTTTAGGTGCATGACATCACTTGTACAGTTGTTCTTTCCACTCAAGTTTAAAAAAACAATTCTTGACCCAAACTTTCATCTGAGGCAGAGAACATGCTTAAACAGGAGCCAGTACTCTTGCCCAGTCCAAACATATTTATAGTATACACAGCAGCTGCTAAAATGCTTGTGAGCATCCTAAATGCGCTTGCCTTTTGTCAAGACATTTTAAGCATGGGGTCCTGTAAAAGACACTATGTGCATTGAGACCCTTCCCCACATACAACACAACGTGCCTTCCCTCCCACGCTGGAATCCCATGTGCACAGCAGAGGCAGTCATCATGCTCATCAGCTCCATCTGGCATGTGAAATCACAGAAGACGATAGAGGTGACATCATTGCAGAGTGAGATGGGTGGACATCCTTGCTGTGGTAGAGCTCAGAGTCACACAGAGATAGGGCACCTGAGACTGCACGTGCGTCATTTCAAACTGGCAGACCTGCCCTTTGCCACGTCACTACCTGTGTCATTCCAGAGATGCTAACCCCATGGCTTTTGTATGCACTTAAATAGACTCAGTTATCCCATCTCATCTCTTTGATTTCTTTATCTCTGAAGTATCCAAGGCTCTCTTGCACCTCAAGCAGATTCCTCACACCGCCCTCTGCTTTTCATCTTGTCAGGGCTCTTCTCAACTTGTTCCTGAGTACAAAAGTCCGGAAAGGTGTTTAACCTGGGACTACCTTTCATCTTTAACATCGCAAGGTTTACTCAGATGTCTTGTCTTCTGCCTTCAGCTTTTTGGCTGGCCTTTGAAGCCAGGTAAGTGAAACAGTTCCTTTGGGTAAAGAAGGCCCCTCAGAAAGATCAGGCCACCAGTCCGTAAGATCATAAATTTCTTTCATGCAGAACTACATCATAATTTCTAAATGCTCAACTACTTTATACTTTATTTGCATGTGAGTTAGCAGTTCAAGGACAGAATATACTTCCCCCCAGCAGTAATTATTTTAAGTACAAAATATTGCTTTATTCAGTACATTACAAACACTGTTGCAACAGAGTATACTTATTGATAAGCAGCCTATAAACCGCTACCGATCAATAGTGCAGCAATTTCATTCATATTAATGGGACTGTCTTCAGATAAAAAAATAAAAACAAAATCCACAAACACACAGTGATACAGTTTTTAAAATGAAGGATGAGAAAAAAAATGTTGTATTGTGAAAACACAGGTCAGTAACTATTTTTAAGTAAATACTTGTATACTTTCAGCTGTATTTGCCATTAGCTCTCCGTATCCTCAAAAAGTCCTTGGTATAAGGATTCTGCAAATTTTAGTCTTTTTCCAATTTTCTTCTTGCCAAAAACGTACTATTTCAACTGGCAAGAAACCGCTTCTCTTTTCATAACTTAATAAACTTTATAAGTAAAGTTCTATTTTTGCATATGCGTTTCTGTGTTATTTGGTAGTTTCTAGGTCCCAAGTATCACTGATATTCCTTTCCTATACTGAACATGTCATTCAAACAGCAAATGTCACCAAATGCTATTCCCAGATCTGCGGTAGCAGTAATCGCTGCCCACAGGATCCTCACCACAGTAAAATGACTCTGCAAGGATGCAGGGATCTGTCCAAACTTGACAATGTGCAGCACGGGTCATTTCTGTCTCCTATTAATGTGAAATAAGAACAGTAAAAAAAATGTTCTGAAATCCAGTGTCTGCACATGAAGCAAGGGCTTCATTCTCACAGAGAGCTGGAAGATGTGTTGTTTCAAAAACACATGGCAAATTTTCAGTGAGACTGAAATATAAATTAAACACCGCAGACATGTAAGAAATGTGTTGCATTGAAATTTTAATGCTTTACAAAAGCCTTCACCTTCTTGAAATAAAATGAAACCAACCTCCCCATCTGCTCCAAAATTTGGTTAACAACCAGGTCAAAATAAGCTGAAGAGATTACTTATAGATGTGTACAAACTGTCATTTCTAGAAAAATGCTGATAGAAAAACGGCTGTAATACTAGCACAATGAACATTCCAGTTTTAACCTTTTAAATGGGCCTGAAGGATCCCAAGACAGCTATCTAACTTCTATCCACAGATATACACTATTTGTTTCGAAAAAAATCAAACCATCAACTGATTTCTATTTTCCTCTTTTAAATCCAATTCAGAGTGTCACATTTGTTTTAATTTTGACAAAGTAGGTACCTTTATTCTGCTGCAAGACATGCAGCGCCTAGAAAAGGAAATTAAGTAAAATTGTAGTTCTTCACAGGTAATAGGATCCATAAATTCACACTCATGGAGCTTGTGCTTTCTGTGCATGACCTCATCATATGAGCAGAAAACTTCTGCCATGAAGTTTAGCAACCTTCTGAGAAGCAAGTAATATAATGTGGTAACAGAGCTGCTTGCAGGCATTTCCTTTTACTGTTGCCTATAACCCTCTGATCAGCAATAAATGAAAACAAACTGTCCCAGTGTCTTTTCACTCATGATTTTATCTTGTTTGTGTGTTTTTACTCTCTACTTCTGACTTTAATTTCACAGAACATGTTAGGTTCCTTTAATATTGGCCAACAGGCAGAGTTAAAGTTGCAGATAAAGTCATGCTCTATAAAATTATATAACTAGTAAGAGAGCTGAGACATTCCGTTTGCTAAGTACTTTACAGCCATTTAAATAAGAAATTCTCTGCTCCGTAACACCTGAAGTTGAAGAGCATATTTGGCAAAGACCTTTTCAGTTTACTCTTTTTTTAATATGAAAACAGGGCTTAAACAAAGGTTGATACAAAACAGCATCCGCTTGAAAGTGTGATACTCATACTGTTGAATAAGCAGCCTCTGCAATTTGCTTGCTGCGGATGTTTAGTGTTATAACAAAAGTACTCCTCTGTGGTGCTGTCATTAAAAGTTTCCCAAACCTTTTGCATGCACCACTTCGAGTATTAGATCATTTTTGTTTATAGAGACCTGGAACCTGGTTACTCAAATTTTAATTCTTGTGTGATTTTTTAAGAGGTGGGTTGGGATGAGGTGGTGCCCTGTAGGCTATATTCTGCTCTCACTGAGTTTCCTGTGGGTGTAGCATATAAGAGCTCAGTGTGCATTTAATAAAGGAGAGAGATAATTTGCTCCTAAATAGTAGACCAAGGGAAAAAAAGTTGCCTAACTGTAAATGCCTCATTCCGTGGTACACAAAGAACAAAGTTGTACTGGTTGATTTGTCATACCTGGACATGGTTGTGTGTTGCAGAGTGCTTCTTCAGTGTGGAGCCCAAGGCAAATATCTCCTCCATATGCTGGAGCAGGGTTTGTGCAGGAGCGAGTTCTCATGTAATGCCCTCCTCCACAAGTTGCGGAGCACTTTGACCAAGATGACCAACAAGACCAGCCTCCATCAACTGGAAAGACACAAAACATTGCATTGTTGCAGGCTGATGTGTAGAAAGGGGACATAATACAGTCTGCCCTTTCCCATATTCTCTGGATATAATTCATAGCATTTTTAGGTCCCACCTAACACAGGCCTAGGAATTGAATCACTCCACCTAAGTAAATTTACATCTTTATAAAGCCATTGGTATACTAGGAAGCCTAACAATGTTACTCATCTGTATAATATACCTTCAGAGGGAAAGCGTAATAGTTTTAATGTCCAAAAATCTTTTCCTTTTTTTTCCTCCTTCATGAGGAAACAAAACACGAAAGTTTATTTAGCAGAATTGTAATAAGCCCAAAGTAAACTTCCGGTCATAAAATAAAATTTAACCCAATAACATAAAAAGAGAGGCTGAGGAAATCTGATTTTCTTTCCTAAGCCCAGGTGGGATGCCTTGGCTCTACAATCCATTTCAGTCAATCCATCAAAGTTGTAGGGTTTGATGGGCCAATACAATATTACAATCTTAACTCATCTCTAGTTACAGCAGAATGATGCCAGTTCAAAAAAGCAATAGAAAAATGACAAAAAGGAGTTGCCATTTTAAGCCTCAAACACTGCTTGTTGAAGAAATACCAAGATTTTGTTTTCCCTCGTATTTACTGATTCAGGTAAGCCTGTTTTGCAGTCTGGGGTCTGAGTGTTCACCTCTGCAACTTAGGCTGGATTTTAGAGGAGTCCGATTTGTCGGACAGCTTTTGATACTTGGCCAACAGATAGGCTTCTAATGAGAGTTTGCCTCATTGCCTGCACCTGAACCAGCTCCTTTGCAGCCTCTCTCTGTTCTTGGAGCTACTGCTGCAGGTTGTATTTCTGGTATTTAAAGGCCATATTGCAGCCCATCTGCCAAAGGCTTCCTATATGCAGACACAAGACCAAGTCAGATTTACTTCTCTCAGATACAGAATTCCCCCTGAAAAGAATCTCAGTAGTTTCATTTGCTTTCATTAAAAAAAAAAAAAAGACTTTCAAAATACGCAAATCCTACAGAAAAAGAATTTCTTTTCAAATCTCTGTTTAAAGTGGTATCACTTGCTCTTTCAATACTTAAATAAAAAAGTAATTGGCCACGTCTACAATTTATTAAAAGTAATGCAGAGTGCATAATTAAACTGACACCAGCACATTAGACCCAAAGAAAAATAAAAGCAATTGGAGAGTCAGGTTCTTTTTTTTCCTAACCACAGAGCTCCAAATTGGTCACAATTCTTGGCTTTTTTCTCCTGTAAGTCACACCAGCAGCGTGCATTTTACAATGCAAACCAGACACTCATTACTGTCTGCTCTTAAAAATAGGAAGGAAATACACATTCGCTGTACACAATTTTAACAGTGCACTCACTTAGGACATTCCTTGTGAGACTTTACTTCATGATTCATTGAAACAACTGATTGCCATTGAAATATCTGAAATATGCATATAGCAGTCCTCAATGACTCCTTTTTATCTTTTCTATTCTAATAACCAAACAGCATTTCAGGGATTAAATGTTTCCATTGGTTTTCTGAAGAGCTATTCCTAAGTTACCTCTTACAAACAAAAAGGAGGTTCCAAATCTGAAAAAAAAAAGATAACTTACAAAGAAAGTATACATGCAGTATTTGCATTACAATTCTCTCTCAGACAGAGGCATTGTAAAACATTAACAAATATCCATTTTATTTTGGTGGCACTGTATATCACAAATGCACCTGGTGAGTCAAACAGAATAATTTACAATTACAATCTAAGGAAAGATTGTAATTGCTAGAAAATGAGCTAGGAGAAGGTGATTGTTTTGATGTTAAAATCTATATGTGCATTTATGCAAGTAATTTCAGATACAGCACATCCCCACATTCTCATGTGCTAATCAAACAGGTAGCTCATTAGTGCATACCTAAGGCTATTAGTTAACTAATCCTGCAAGTGAAGTTGTCGAATGTATGACATTTTATTTTCTGCAGTTTTTACAACATTATCCTGCAAATCAATAAACCAGTTGGCATACAGTTCGCATTTTCTTGCTGAGAACAATAATTGTAAAAACTGTAATAAGTAACATATCTGGCTTCTGAAAAGTGTGATTGGACAGAACAGATTTGCAGAATTTAGTGCTATATTCAAAGGATCTAAATTTAAATACTGAGGAATTAAATGACTGCTACATTTTTCCAGGATATATTCATTTAAAACTCAGCTGAATCATCATAGATTTATGAGTTTTACACCACCCATCATATATAATACTGCATCTCGGTACAGTGCCTGACTTGTTCCCTTATTCATATAGCCACTGGAAAGAAATATCATGACTTTTTGCCTGAGAAGACTCTATCAATGTAGCATTACAGGAGCTCATACCTAAGAAAGTCACAAGTTATTTGTCTTCAATGCAGGTAAAATATACTGTGTAATTTTATAACATCTTCAAGACATGGTATCTTTTATCCAGAATTTTTTTTTTTTGCAATGATGTCAAATAAAAGCATAAGCTGTTATGTAGCTATTCATTTCATGAGATCTCAGATCTTCACCTTCCCAAATGATACCCTACCAGCTCAAATGAATAATCAGAAGTATTTCTGCGACAGTGTATATACACCTTCATGAACCAGAATGACAGCCTAAGGTTGCCTAGATAGAGATAACGTGTCTTGTTCGTTGTAATGGAGACTGTGACCTCCAACACTTTCTACTCATTTATCAATGGACTTATTTTTAATGGTAAGAATTACAAGCATGCATGCATTTCATACTGACATCTGCCTTCTATCTACAGGTAATCAAGAACATAGAGACCTAAAATTCTTGATGCCACATAACGTCCCACAGCTAGAGGTATCATGGCTACACTGCAAGCCTTTGGATGCAAAGGGAGAAGTGGGGCAGTGAGAAGATGGGAAAGGATAGACATGATGTAATAAAGACTGTTAGACTTAATCATAGTTGAGCCAGATGGTGCAATTATAACAGTTTTTCTTACTGACTGTTTAGTGACAGACTGCCATCCTAAATCTCTAGGCCTCTCAAAGACTAACATAAGCTAAAAAAAGCTAAAGATTAATAGCTTTTATTTGACCTCGGAACTTTTTTTCCCAGCAATGGAGGATGATAAAGCATCATCACGGTTAAATATGATCAAAGAAGTGGGTATTTTACGCTTGTGTTTTTGCAAGACCTAAACAGACCTCTGGGGTGCCCTTCAGCTTTCTTTAAAGTTGCTTAGTGACACAGCACCATATGTTTGGGGTTTTTTTCTCCCTTTGTCATGGAGTCCTTAATGTTATTTCTGCTTCTTATAGGAAGAAAAATAAAGAGTGGCAAGGAAAGTTGCAGTCACTACAATTGTTTACATACCAGTTGGGTCAAGCTGTTGGACAAAAGAAACTAGCTAAGGCAGTTCCACAATGAGCGATACAAAGAGTCGGTAAGTTCTCTGGCAATTACAGAGGTGGGTCCCTTTTGGAAGAAGGCCTCTCCAGCAAGCAGGCTGCTCTCAAACAATGCTTTTCCTTTACAGTGTCTTCCTAAGCAAGCCAATTTTTGCCTGCTGGCTGTTATCCTGGTTAATAAATATTTATGCACAAGAATGAAAAAAAAATCGTGGGGAAGAGAATGTTTTGGGAGAAACGGCACATAGGAACAAGATCTCTTGGGGACATGATAAAACAACCACACTACTGGAGAATTGCCAAGGGACTATTAAGTTAACTGGATACTCTGCTACGCAGTTTAGGCTTTACAAGAAAGTGGAAGGAAACATGGGCAGACATACTGATCTCCCTTGCTTTCAGGAAAGCACGGATAAGACTGAAGGCTTTTTCATATACTGTCCTGTCTCATTTCAAATGTGAACATCCATTAAAAATTCTTCTTCCTTTTTTTTGGTATGTACTTTTAGGTTTATAACTTTTCATGTTCACCTTTTTGAAAGTGTAGCAAAAGAGAATAAATAATACTGAGAGAGCTCAGAGTCTTTTCTCTTTGCAAGAAAGAGTACAAATAGAGGGGCAGTAGTCCTTCACATTCCCAGGGGCTGAGCAAAAGTAAAATCTGGGGGCAATGGGAGGCTGGGCAGCCTACAGACCTAATAGAGTGCACTGGCCTTCCAGACACCCTGAGATCATCCCATTCCACACCTACTGCTCTTTCTTGTTCCTGTGGGATATCGCTGCATATTTTTCACGGTGGGAAAGAGCAATTTTTACATCAAAGTTTGAAAGTCCTTCTGTGATGCTACAGTTAACTTTTATTCACAAAAGTAATGCTGGATGTTACAGACGAGTCAATTCAGTGCACTGCAGAAACACAGAAGGCCAAGTAACGCTTCTAACGATCGCGGGACAAGAATAGCAAAGGATCAAACTAGGCTTAAGCCTGTAACTGAGGCACCTAAGTCAGCTGGAGTCAAAGGAGAAGCAACAGGCACTTCCAAAGGGCAGTTCAGCTCTCTGTCTTCACTGGCTACACAAGAAGCCTAGAGAGATCAATGTATGGGGAGTGATGGGCTTCAAGAGCCTCAGAGATAAGCTTTTTTGCCACTGGAGTAATTTTTTCCCCTGATTTAGGAAGTTACTGCAGGATAAGTTTTCTCCATTTCTTTATATATACTCTACTCCTGTTTCCTGTGGCCAAGTATGACTGCAAGGAAAAAAAAAATGGAACAAAAAATAGTAAGAGTAATAAAGAAAAAAATCAGCAAGCAATAACTGCCTTTAAGAGTTGCATAAATAACTTAAATAGTCTTTCAGGGAGTTTTGTGATATCTGAAACTCCCTTTATTGTTATTAGCACATTTACCAATATGTGGATGCCTGCAGCTAACTTATTCAGTTTTTCTCAGCCAAAATGTCATAAACAAAACCAAACTAAAACTATTGTAATAAAAATTTGCAACTGGTGAAAGCCTCAAATGAAGTATCAGAATTTAAAATCAAAGATAGAAATTGTCCTTTTCTTCTGACCCACCGGTACCTCTG